ACTCTTTCCTGCCTATGCAGGGGGTCGGACTCGATGATCTATTGAGGTCCCTTCCGACCCTAACATCTATGAATCCCAAACAGACACTTTTAGACAAAATAAGTGAGATGCTTATAACAGTTATAGCCAGTTTTATTTGACTTGCTTCATATTTTTAAGTAACAGTAATCTTCGGTGTCCAAATCTCCTTTCCTTGTTTCAGTTAGCCAACACTATTCAAATATACTTTTTTCAGCTAGTTAAAATCTCCACAGTAACTGGTTTGTAAATATTACTGAGTTTGGTTTTTTGTTTTTTGTTTTTTCTGGACAGCATCTGTTATGCTGACCAAAATCCTCAACAGCCAAATAAAAGATTGATGTTGCTAAACTAATTTTCCATGCATAAATCCACTCAGTGGTTTATTTTAAAGCAGTGATTCTCTGCTGGGGTGCCATGATGCCCAGCCTGTGAGCCAGGATCTAAGCAATCATGCCTCCTCTTTTCTCAGCGCTTGACATCCCAGTATCCTACAGAAACGAGCTGTGTCTATGGTGGCTCCCCATGCTTCTAGCAGTGTGCAAACAAACAGCTGTGGGGCTGCACTTTTCAGCCTGTCCTAATCTTCCATCTCCTCCTTTGCTCCTGGGGCCAGTAGAAGGAGTTGCATGCGCATCTGACTCCAGTACTAACATTTGAGTCCCTGGAGGACTAGCAAGTGTGACCTCAGGTGCAGACCAGGGGGTGGGAGTTGGTGGGGAGAAAAAATAAATGGCACAGAAGGCTGAACCCGCTCTGGTACTCCACTCAGCTGACATGAACTAGGTTGTCTCATTGGTTCTCAACTAGCATGGCCCTAAATGCTGAAAAATTATGAAAGGGTAAAAAAGGTTGAGAACTGCTGTTTTAAAGGATAACTTAGGAACTATATAATAGTTTCCCTTTCAAAGCACAAAATATTAGAATAATGCATGCATGCATCTCTTCACTTGCTTTCCACATTTTTCAGCATGACTCCTTGAGGGACTAGATCAGGGATTCTTAAACAGGGTTTCATTCACTGTTAGGTGTACCAACATAATTTACAACATTTAAACACAGATTTCAAATAGAAATCCATACGGTCAGCAGCATTCTGGCTTGGTATTGTCTTTGAGTTGCTTGTAACAGAAGAATCACTGTAGTAGTGTTCTGTAGTCAAAGGAACAAGTGAAAACTAAGAGCTGGCATTTTCCAAGGGGAGCTTTGAGTCTAGAGAGGCTGAGAACTGGCCTAGGTAGTTGAGGGGTTTACACCATTTTAAAAAGGTAGGAGACAGACAGCACAGATCCTTAGACTGGCTTAATTTCTAATGTAGAATGGACCTGGACCGAGGAGCGCCGGGAGCTGGGAGTCTCCCTGCAACCAGCCCCGCACGCCGACCCCGTGACCGTGACGCCCCGCACAAGAACCTTCCTGGAGAGGTTCCTGAACAACGCCATCCGCAACAAGTACGCTGGCGACCTGAGGGCCAAACCCGACCAGGGCAAGGTCTTCGACGTCACCTCGAAGTGGGATGCTAGCAACCACTTCACGCGCTTCGCGGACTGGCGCTTCCTCCACCGCACCCGCCTCAACTGCCTGCCTCTCAACAGGGCTGTCCTCTTCGGCCACCGGGACAAGAGGTGCCGACGGTGCGGCTACGTGGCCGCGACCCTCGCCCACGTGCTGTGCAGCTGCAAGCCACACGCCAGGGCCTAGCAGCTCCGCCACGATGCTGTCCAGGACCACCTGGTCAGGGCCATCCCGGCCACAGTGGGGCAGGTCTCCGTCAACCGCACCGTCCCGGGCTGCGAGAGCCAGATGCGCCCCAACATCGTGATCACTGACGAGGAGGCCAAGAAGATCGTCATCGTGGACGTCACCATCCTGTTCAAGAACCGGTGCCAAGCCTTCACCGACGCCCGGGCTCACAAGCGGGAGAAGTACGCCCCGCTGGCCGACACCCTGAGGGGCCGCAGCTACAATGTGACGGTCAACGTGCTCGTCGTGGGAACGCTCGGAGCCTGGGACCCCAGCAACGAGAGCGTCCTGAGTGCCTGCCGCGTCTCCCGCCGCTACGCCAAGCTGATACGCTGCCTCATGGTGTCCGACACCATCTGGTGGTCCCGCAACATCTACGTCGAGCACATCACGGGCCACCGCCAGTACACAGACCCCACCAGGAGAACAGCTGCTGGACCGGACCCAGAGGGGACTGCCTGAACCCCCCCTCTGCACCAGACGGACCTTCGCTTCAAGAGGATTCTTCAGCAGCGGACGACCCTGTACCACCCGAAGAGGACCCCCGCGATGAGACTGTATATAGACTGAGACACTTTTTCTTTGGACCACTTCTTCCACCATTGCGGACCATTGTAACGGGTTTGTGTGTTTCTGTCCTCTTTTTCTCTCAGCGTCGTTGGCTAACTTTGTATTGCCTGTAACCTAGTTGCGTTCCCCACCTCACCCCCATCCTTTTATTGTTAGTCCCTCGCCCGGGCACTCTGTATTTCCCTATCGGCTTTGTCAGCTTTTTTTGGATTTACAATCCTAAACATGTACTAATAAAAGTCAATTTGTTCCTGTAAGAATCTGATATCTACGCAGCTTGACCCATGGTAATTGTTAGCTTGCAACAAAGCTGTTACCTGCTTCCTGCCACCTAGTGGGGGGTTGTAGTAATAACAGCCTACCCCTATTAAGTGAGCATCAGTTGGTTAAGTACCTAGGTATAACTAATGTAGATGTGCAAAACCAATGTAAATTACAACAATGTATATGATCATCTGTCCACATCCATAGTGCGGAGTAGCAGAATGATCAGCTGTTCTCTCAAATACCTGGGAAATATTTAATGTATTATCAATACCATTCCTTTTAATACTGCTGTATTAAGTTTTCTTTAGTAAAATCTCCATATGCAGCTCAGTATTGTGACAAGGAATTTTTACAGAAGCACTAAATCCTGCAGCATCAATAAACAATTCTATTTTTAATTCAGATAAATATGGAGGTAATGTGATTAGTGCATAGTGCTTGAATTTACTGAATTTAAAATGTATTCTGTCGATTACACTTTTAATTTTCATGGGGCTCTGGAATGTTATAGTTTCAGTACTGTTACTACATTATAGGCAATGCTGGTGTTCTATACCAAAATGCATTTTCCCAGAATTGGAGTGTATTGAGAGACCCATTCAAATTTGAACTAATCTAAAATAATGATGCACAAAGCAATTCGTAAAACACTGAGAGTACAGGCAAGTACAACACCATTGAGCAGTAAATCAAATACTTTTTTTTTTTTTTTGAATGAGAAACAAGGACAAGAATGCTGGAGGTATGTGTTCTTTCTGAAAAATGCTGTAGGATTATAGTCTTCTATTTGGGCATCTTGGCTAAATGATTTTTGTTTTATCATGTATTCCTGTGTTGTGATAACAAATTAACTAAAATCCATTCTACTCCCAGTTGCTTGCCTCTTACTGTCCTGGCTCTTATTTGCCATTGCATTTGTTTTCTAGCTGTCAATGGCCCTGATCCTGCTATGAGATCAGTGGAGTGGGAGCCATTAATGTCACCAAGAGCCCTGCAGAGTCTTGCTAGTCAGTCCAGTAGGGGTGTGCAAAATGGGTCCTATTCAATTCGGATTCAGCTCAAATCAAGGACAGTGATTCAGTTCATTGATTCAGATTACTGTCCCCGATTCGATTTGACTAAATCTGAAGTTTCTATGCTGATTCGGAGAACCGGCGATTCGGCCATAGACACAGTTTTAAATGTTGTTTCTACATACCTCAAGGTACCAAGCATGGCTCGTGAATGCTGCAGTGCTGGGATGGATGGCGTGTCCCACGGGAGTGCGGGGGATCCCCCCCCGCATGCTCGGTGGAGAACCCAGAAGTAAACTAGATTCTTCATCAGCTTTTAAATGTGTATAATATTTTCCACAGATTGTACCTGCAAACTTGACATTAGTTTGATACCAGATCTTGGCCTGGATAGGATCCTGACTGAGTTTAAAAACAGGAATCATCCTGAGTGGCTCTGTGTAACTTTAAATAGTGCTTTAGATTTTTAGTAAATAACAAATGGTATTCCCTTAGCTACTTAGGCGTTATAATTTCTATATCTAATCAACCAGTTGTTAAGAAATTGTGCTTCTGGATTGCAGGGGATGGATGGTCAACATTAAGCATACATTTTGTCTGTAAATGTGATATACTATGAAACATTTACCTGTCCAGCCACCTGTGTGCAAATGCAACTATTATATCTAGTTTAATTTTTTTTTTTTTTAGTGAACCCTGGGGGATGGGCACCAGCCTCAGTGTTACGGGCAGTGGCAAAACGGGAGTATCCCAAATTCCTGAAGCGTTTCACATCATATGTGCAAGAGAAAACAGCAGGAAAGCCTATTTTATTCTAGTATTAACAGGTATTTGCTGAACTTGTCACTTTTTCATTATATGTTGATGTAAGTACTTAAGGCTAAACCAAAGATAAGCAATGTAGAAATGTTTAAACATTTTCAGAGATAAGAACTTGCATATGTATTCTGAATTTTGCAGTAACACTTATTTAGCAAATACATTTATTTTCTATGTATGTAGAAAAAAATAAGATTTACAATTACCATATTTCTTCTCATAGCCAGGATGAATTTGATTTAAATGAAATCTATTTTAAATCACAACTTAAATCACTATTTAAATCACTGGTCAGGAAGCCTCAATTTTAATCTTTTTCTACAAATGTGCATTCTTGTTGTTTGATATAACCTTCATGTATATTATTCACAACTTGGAGATGTACGTTTCATTTTTCGAAGGTACACACTAGATTTTAAAGCAGTGATTTTGATTTTTTTCAGATTCATTTTGCAACTACATCAGACAACTGAATTATGATTAGGTTATTTTATTTACCAAAGCTAATTGAAGGAGATAGTCTACCTCCCAATATATCTCCAATTCACTAGATTAATCATGGATATTTAGCAGATAATTTTGCCATGCTGTATTAAGAGGACATCAGATGAGTGCAGCCATAGGTTATTAGCTTGGGGCTTTCTTCTAGATTTCTTCTCTTTTATGGCCTGGCAAGCCTGCTGCCATGATAGGTTTTCCCTTCTACCATACCATTCCTTCACTAGATCTCAAATCAATTAAGAGGCTGTGTACTCAGAAACATAGACTTCTGTCATACTCAAGACTTCTGGATTATTCTGTTCAAAATGTTTATTTTGTTTCTAGTGCCCCTCCCTCCTTGCATTTATCTCCAGACTCTTCCTCCTTGCCCAGATCTACTCCACCCCAACAAACAAATTCATTTAAAAGTGAAATGTTTCAAGAAGTTAGAGAGAGATAAGGGCATGACTCTGTGTACACAAACTTGCAGGGAGATGAGAGGGCTGACAGGTAGGTAATCAGGTCTGGTCTCTCTCATCTCTCTCTGCTGCTGTTAACAAGGATGTTAACTCAGGAGACGCATCCACAGTTTGAGAACTGAAAATAAGCATCACAGAGATGCTTAATGGAATCTTCTAGGCTGAGCACTGAGTCCCACTGGGTAGAGTGGTTTTCTTTAATCTAATCAATAGAGGAGCCTCTGGGAACCCCATAACATTGGGCCCCATATATAATCCATGGCCTGTTGTGACCTATTTATAAAACTTTTCTAAGAAGGTTACATGAAGGTTACCTAGTTTCAATTTAAGATATGTTAAAGCTCAAAGATATCATCATGGAGTAAGGATTATAACTTCTAATTATTTACTATTTGAGACAATCTTGATTATAGGTTTATTCTTTTTTTAAAAAGCATCTTAAAAATCAAAAATACGATTAAATTAAAAAAACTGACTTTTTTTAAATTTTTAAAAATTCATTTTTTTTAATTGTTTTTATTCCCCCTGCTTATACCATATGCACTTTCTTCCCTTTCAAAATTATCCTTCCACACATCCCAATTTTGTCTTTTAAGCAAAGGAGCTGATTTCTCTGGCTGGAATGGCAACAGTGGCATTTTGGTTCTAGTAGTGTTGAGGAAGTCGGTTGACTTCATGACTCATTATCTACTTGATTCCTGCTAATTGTTTTTCATCTTGGTATTAACAGCTTACTTTCCTTTTTTTAATAGTCAAGACATTCCACTAATCAAGGTCCATTCTTTAACAATTCTGCTGTCTGTTAGCCACTTTTGGTCTCTCGTATTTCACAGCTCTGCCTTGTGTGTTTTTTAGCTCTCTTCAAAATCCTAGATCTACCAATAGAGTTCAATCTTCACCAGCAGCTACAATTTCAGCTTTGACAATTCAGCTGTAAAAGCAGTTAAAACTGTAGCTTTTGCCTGAGCAGGAAAGGGAGGGTGAAGTGAGCCCATTCTCCACCGTGGCCATATCTCTGGATAAATCTTTTTTTTTTTTAGTCATTCCCCAAAACAAGATGTCTCTTTGTAACAGGGAGCCAAAGGCTATTGTTACTTTAAGGAGAGAGCAGCAGATCAAGCTTGCTGTGTAGGGCAGGGAGCTGGGCTGCTAAGAAGCAAGCTAGCTACTAGAGAGAGAGCGCCATCAGAAAGCAAGCAGGCCAGAAACAACAACAGGATAGGCGCTACCATTTAGAGGGACTGTTCTGGAGCTGGCTACTATGTAGCATGCTGCCAAGGGGCAGACCTCCGGGCAGCACAGGATTAGGAACTGCAAGCTAAGCTGCAGCAGAGGAGGACAGGATGATGATCAAGCCAAAAGGAGAAACCCCTGTGTGTGGCTGGAGAGCCATCTGACAGGACAAGGTGGGACTTTGGGGCATACACAACCAGTGCCTGAGATTTAGCCATCAGTCTGGCCCTGCAGGCTTCAGGGAGAGGAGCTCCTGAGCAAGATTGCTGCAGGAGGTGGAATGACTAACACCCAAGCTGTCCCAGAGAGCTGCAGGGAGAGTGCTAAGTGCTAATCGATTTGCTTGTATTTGTTTTGACTAAGGTAGATACCGGAGGATGGGTTGTGGCTATGGGGAAGCTGTGGAGGCCACAGAGGGGTGCCTCGTGGGGCCCTCGGTGGCAGGCAGCCTACCCTGGCATCAGGGACCCAGAGGGCTGAGGCTGGTGTGATGAACTAAGCTGAAACTGGGAGAGCCCAGGCCAGTGTTAGGCAACTTAGCCTGTGGTCAGGGACCCAGAGGGCTGCAGGCTGGGGCATTGGTCACTTGGGCAGCAGTGACCACAAGATAATCAACTTCAGGATCCTGACTAAAGCAAGAAAGGTGAGCAGTAGAGTATGGACCCTGGACTTCAAAAAAGCAGACTTGGACTCCCTCAGGAAACTGATGGGCAGGATGCTGTGGGAGGCCAGTCTGAGGGGGGAAAGGAGTCCAGGACAGCTGGTTGTATTTTAAAAAAAACTTACTGAAGGGGCAAGAACAAACTATCCTAAAGTGCAGGAAGAATAGCAAATATAGCACGTGACCAGCTTGGTGTAGTAGAGAACTCTTTGAGCTTAAACACAAAAAGAAAGCTTACAAGAAGTGGAAACTTGGACAGATGACTGGAGAGTATAAGCATATTGCTTAGGCATGCAGGGATAAAGTCAGAAAGGCCAAAGCACAACTGGAGTTGCAGCTTAGCAAGGGACATAAAGTGTAACAAGAAGGGTTTCTACAAGTATGTTAGCACAAGAGGAAGGTCAGGGAAAGTGTGGGTCCCTTACTGAATGGGGGAGGCAACCTAGTGACTGATGATGAGGAAAAGATTAAGTACTCAGTGCCTTTTTTACCTCTGTCTTCATGGGTAAGATCAGCTCTTAGACTTCTGCACCAGGCAATACAGTGTAGGGAGTGAGCAGCCCTCAGTGGTGAAAGAACAGGTGAGGGACTTTTTAGAGAAGTTGGATATGTACAAGTCCATGGGGCCAGATGCAATGCATCCCAAGGTGCTGAGGGAGCTGGCTGAGCCACTGGCCGTTATCTTTGGAAACTCATGGTGACTGGGGAGGTTCCGGGTGATTGGAGAAGGCAAATATAGGGCCAACCTTTTAAGAAAGGGAAGGAGGAGGATCCAGGAAACTGCAGACCAATCAGTCTCACCCCAGTCCCTGGAAAAATCAGGTCCTCAAGGAATCCATTTCTGCATACTTGGAGGAGAAGAAAGTAATTGGGAAGAGTCAGCATGGACTCACCAAGGGCAAGTCATGCCTGAGGGCAGGGGCAAGATGTACCTGATTGCCTTCTATGATGAGATGACTGGCTGTATGGATGCAGGGAAAGTAGTGGATGTGATGTACCTTGACTTTAGCAAGGCTTTTGATAGGCCTCCCGCAGCATTCTTGCAAACAAAGTAAGAAAATATGGGTTGGATGAATGGAATGTAAGGTGGATAGAAAAGCTGGATGGATTGTCGGACTTAACAGGTAGTGATCAATAGCTTGTTCTAGTTGGCAGTCATTATTAAGTGGAGTGCCTCGGGTATGTCCTAGGACTGGTTTTGTTCAATATCCTCATTACAATCTGGAAGATGGAATGGAGTGCACCCTCGGCAAGCTTGCAGATGACACCAAGCTGGGGGGAGTAGTAGATATGCTGTAGAGTAGGGCTTAGGACTCGGAGTGACTTCAACAAATTGAAGGATTGGGCCAAAAGAAATCTCATGAAGTTCAACAAGGACACGTGCAAAGTCCTGAACCATAGGACTGAACAATCCCATGCACCGCTATAGGCTTGGAACCAACTGGCTAAGCAGCAGCTCTGCAGAAAAAGACCTGAGGGTTAGAATAAGATTGATGTAGTCAGCAGCGTGCTCTTGTCAAGAAGGCTAACAGCATACTGGGCTGTATTAGCAGGAGTGCTGCCAGCGGATTGAAGGATGTAATTGTTCCCCACAATTTGGCACTGGTAAGGCAACATCTGGAGTACCGTGTCCAGTTTGGCCCACCTGCTACATAAAGGATGTGAATGTGTTGGAGAGAGTCCAGCGAAGGGTGGTGAAAATGGTTAGGGGTACTGGGGCACATGACTTCTGAGGAAAGGCTGAGGGAACTGGGCTTATGTAGTCTGCAGAAGAGAAGACAGAGGGGATTTAATAGCAGTCTTTAGCTATCTTAAAGGGGGTCCAAAGAGGATGGAGCTAGACTGTTCTCAGTGGCGGCAGATGACAGAACAAGGAGCAATGGTGTCAAGCTGCAGCAAGGGGGTTAGGTGGGTTATTAGGAAAAACATTCTCACTGGGAGGGTGGTGAAGCACTGGAACAGATTACCTAGAGAGGTGGTGGACTCTCCTTCCTTGAAGGTTTTTAAGGCCTGGTTCAACAAAACCCTGGCTGGAATGATCTAATTGGGGGTGATCCTGCTTTGAGTTAGGGGGTTGGAGCAGATGATTTCCTGAGGTCCCTTCCAACCCAAATTTTCCATGATTCTGTGATTGAAAGCAGCCCAGCCTGAGTTCAAGGATCCAGAAGACCAAAGACGGAGTGAGTTAAAGTAGTTCAGCCTAGGATTAGAGACCCAGAGGGCTGGAGGAACTAAGCCAAGGCAGTGACACTGAAGCCATAGCAGACTTAAGCCAATAGGACTAAAGCCTGGTAAAAGGGAATGAAACCCAAGAGGGGCAGAAGCCAGACCAGGACCAGGGGCTCAGCAGGCTCAGTGGGTTGGTTAACAGACAGGGCCAGTAGGCCTGGTGGATGAACTTGAAGGAAGGAACATCTGTGAGGCATAAGTATGGCTACAGGGGAAGCTGGAGGCTTCAAATAGCTGGTAAGGCAACTGAGGCACTGACAGGGCCAGGAGTTGCAGTTTAGTGCCTTAGGGGCAGGGCTAGGGTCTCCTGGGTATGGGAGGGGCCTGCTGGCCAAAACGAACTATGGGTTGCTTTGGGACTCTGGAGCAGCTTCCCTTTAATGCTAAAATAATTCTATCAAGGAGTGGCAGGCAAGGAAAATGGGAGGATACCCTGAGGAGCTGGAATGGGCCAGGAGTTGCACGGTCCCCAAGGGGCATCGCAGCTGCCCCTGGGGCCAGGTCCTGTCAGTCTTATTGTGTCGTGTGTGGTATGTGAGAAAAGTGGTTGATTTCTTCCAAACAAATTGTACATATATTTTGAAAATTTTAATTTTACGTTGTAGTATGTCCAAATTCAGTGCAAATGGTGCAAACCATTTTTGTTTGCACGTTTTAGTCTGATTGGCTATATTGGAGTGAATGGACTGATGTTACCTAAACATAGACTAGGTTTTTAATAAGCTAGAAATGCATGAGAAGAGTCAGCATTGACCTTTCCTCATCTGTCAAACATAGTCTTAAACTCCTATATTTTGAAACAAATCAAGGTTTTATGAAGTTGAATATCTTTCTGTACACATTACACTCTCTTTACTTGTTCTGAAAGATGAATAGTTGAGGTGTCCAGCATCCCAATGAAGATCCTCATGATCAAAGCGGAGACTGGTTCTGTATGTTTTGAGAAATGGGATTTTTTGATATGAGATTCATCTTTTAGCAAAGAACAATTTCATTCTTTTGTCATCTAGTTGACAGGATATTGATTTAGGATTTTTGGGATTGATTCATTTTTACTGTAAAATCACAAAATGATGTAGATTTAGTCAAATGGATGTCTCGGCCATTGGTGAGTATCTGTTGTCAAGTGCTGATGTAGTTTTGAATGTCACTATCTGGTCACAGCTGATGTTAATTGGCTCGCCAGTCTTTTTCAGGGCAGTCTCAATTATGTTATCAGATGCAAGCTTCTTGCTTATGCAAGATTTAGGTGTGTGCTTTTGTGACGTTACACTGAGATTGCAGTATGCTTTGACACATGACTGTTAGGCCAGAGCAGTAAAGTGTCAGCCGTGTAGGCAGAATCTGGCAGCTCTGATATAGCAGAAGGTAGACTAGATGGATTTTTGCCTGCTTGCTGTTCTGATCTTTACACCGGCTAGCTCTTGAATAGGTTTCATTTAGCGTACAAAGCCCTAAAAATCTGAGTCATATGATCCTCTTTTGTAATGATGTCACTTTTCCTTTAATGCCTTTTAGATGCCTTCGGTTACAGATGGCTTGACTGAAAGTGAATTGGTAAACTTGGCTCATACAAACAGGAAAAGAGTTTCTGAATTGCACATTTTCTAGAAACATATTTCATAACTTATTCTTATGTGATACTCAAAATTAATTCTGCCATGTTCTTTCCATGTTTTTGACAGTGATTGGAACAAGACTGTGTGAACATTCCATGTTGGAGAGAGAACCCAAATTGAATGCTCCAAGCTGGAACATAGGATCTACAGTCTTTATGGCCCAAGTCCTAGGCTTTGTGTACTAAAGTGAAGAAATATTGCAACACCATGAAGCTGAACATCTAACA